ACAGGGGTACTTTATCATCCAAACAGAGTACATTTAAATGTGAAAGGAGACCCTTTGATACTAAGATAGGTCAAGAGCAGTGAACTGCAGCTCAGATCTATGAAAGAAAAGCACTGGTGAAGTAGGAACACCTTAGAGCAGCGGTTCTCAACCTGGGGGTCAAACGACCCTTTCCCAGGGGTCACCCGGTTCAAAACAGTAGCAAAATTACAGTGAGGAAGGAGCAATGAAAATAATTGTATGGTTGTGGGGGGTCAACACAACATGAGGAAGGTTGCGCCCCGCTGGGTAGGAGGTGTGAGGGCAGGAACACCAGGGAGTGGGAAGGGGAAGGTGGCACTGAGGGGATACCAGGAAAGGAGATGTAGCAAAACGTGGATGAATGGTTGAATGCAAACACGATCACCCAATTCACAATAAAAAGTTTTTTAAAAATAGAGAAGTCATAAACTGGGCCCGTCACAGGTAAGCCAAGAGCTCCAGTTGGCTCACATCCCTTCGAATTCTTTGCTCACACCTTTATTCGAGATGTGTCCCTCGACCTTAGGCCCACAGAGTGGATTGTAACATTCTGAGGAAGTTGAGTCTAAGTAAACAAATGAAATAAACTCAAAAGTTCACTGCCATTGGGTCAATTCTGACTCATGGCAACCCTACAGGACCAGGTAGAAGTGCCTCTGTGGGTTTCCGAGTCTAAAACTGTATGGGAGTAGAGAGCCTCGCCTTTCTCCCTCGGAGCTGGCTGGTGCTTTCCAACCTCTGACCTCTCAGCTAGCAGCCCCGCGTGTCATCACCAGGTCATCAGGGCTCCTATACGAGGGAAGCATGGGGGAGGGAGGGGCTGGGGAAAGATGCACTCTTCCTATTAGGAAGCAACTTCTGGCAGCTGCCTCTCTTAAAAATTCCAAACCAAGTCCTCTGCCATCAAGTGGATTCTGGCTCATAGCAACCCGAAGAGGGTTTCCCAAGCTAAATCTTTATGGGAACAGTCTAACCTTTCTCCTAGGGCAGTGGTTCTCAACTTTCCTCATGCCGCGACCCTTTATACAGTTCCTCATGTTGTGGTGACCCCAACCATAAAATTATTTTCGTTGCTACTTCATAACTTGTTTTGCTACTGTGATGAATCGGGCGACCCCTCTGAAAGGGTCATTCGACCCCCAAAAGGGTCGCAACCCACAGGTTGAGAACCCACGGTCCTTGGAAAAGGCTAATGGATGTGAACCACCGACTACCAGAACTACTTCTGTTAAATCAACCAAACTTCACATACAGTCCTCTTTCTTCCAGACCTACAGCTAGTATTTGACAAGGGAGCTAAAAGATGCCAACTCAACAATGACATTCCCTACTGAATATGTATTGCATATGTCGTTCCACCCCACGCCCCACAAAAGCATGTGGCACAAAGCACTAGACTGTGGACCGAGGCTGGGCCCACAGCAAGCCCTCGACAAGGAGTCTCTAGTTCCTCAGAAAGGCCTTCTTCACAATGAAGACAGCAACCTGCCGTGCGGATGCAGATATCCACCATGGAGCTAGCAAGTATTTCCGATGTTAGAGCCTCTCCTTGGTGCCAGGGCAGACACTGAAAAAGGACAGAACCCAAGAGCCAGCTCTCCCGCCAAGTGCTTCCATCCACTAGAGAAGTCTGTAGCGTCTGCCCACAAGCACAACAACAACTTGGTTTCTCTGCCTCTGGCTAAGAACAGTGCGAGCTTGGGAACGCGGAAGTTTCTCTCCCGACGTGGCTGGTGCTTGCTCCTTATGTCATGGCTCTTATTCAGCGGGATCAAACATTGATCATGTCCTCCATGCAGGTTAGTCCTTGTGTCCCATGAGTACTGCTTTTTTGGAATATTTTCTCTCACATCAATCAAGACGGTTCCTACCAAAAGCACACTGCAAAGAAGGAAGACCAATTTTGTACCATGTTTGCAATCTACAGTGCTTAAATTATCTGCCACGGTGGTGGGAAATGGCTTGTTTCAAGTATTCATAATGACTCTGATTGCCTCACCAGCTTTCATAAGGATTCATGGTCCAAGGCTACCACAGCTGTAGGCATGATAGTGCAAATATCTTCCTCTGTTAGACCATCACTGTCAATAATGAGAGTCCGGAGAATTATGCTGGGGGTCAGGGAACTACTTGTTAGGGAGCTGGCAGGAGAACCCTCAGTACACAGAAGGTCGACTAAGTCCTTCCAGCTCTGAGGACTTACTCTGTAAGAACTAACAAAACAAACTCGCTGCCATCAAGTGGTGCAGACTCACGGCGACACTGTAGGACAGAGTAGAACTGCCCCCTGGATTTCCAGGATTAAATCTTGACAAGAGTAGAAAGGCTGAGAGCATAACCCACTACATCACCAGGGGTCCTTAGAAAAAAGCCAAGAAATTTACAACTTTTTCTTTCACTTAAGTGTAAGGACAACTCTAAGTTCAAAGACATTTTTGTTAACATGCCTACCTAAACTGCCTCACAACTAAGGCCAGCCTGCCACACTCACAGTCACAACTAATGGCCGAACGATGTTTCAACTGCTCAGAAAAGGAATGTGGTGAAGCGGTTATCACTTGGCCTGGCTCTTCTGGGGCTGGTGTCAGAACAGCATGAAGAATGGAGGGTGGAAGCACGTCTGACCTCTGCCTGTGGCAAGATCAGAAGTGGTGCCCATGCCACGCTCCTGAAGGAAGAAATTAAATGTGCTGCTTGAAGTATAAGGCGATGATGACTTTGGGACTTCCTTGACAATGACTTTGACCTCTTTGGGGAGGTCAAAGTTGTCTTTCCATCCTCAGTCCTACCTTATCAAACCTCCGAAGTGGATGCTTTCTGAGGAATACTATGACTCTGTATGACTGGCTTCTCTGTCAGTTCCAGATGCCATCTGCCTCCCACTCTCTATAAACAATCCCTGCGGGATCTTCTGATGACCAAACAGATGAAGTGTCACACTCCTGATAATACCCGCAAAGAATCCCTGGTGGCATAGTGGGTTGCACATGGGACTACTAACTGCAAAGGCAGCGATTCGAATCTACCAGCCACTCGAGAAAGAAGAGGCTTTCTGCTCCTGTGACTGACAGCCTTGGAAACCCTTCATTGGCAGTTCTACTCCTGTTCTACAGAGGGTCACTGTGAGTCCCCCGGGGAGTCCACTCATCGGCAGTAAGTTTGACTTGAACCTTTGGAATCATACCCCAAGTAGCCCTGGTGGTGTGGGTGACACATTGCCCTGCTAACCGCAAGGTTGGCCGTTCAAACCCACCAGCCGCGCCACAGGAGAAAGATGATGCTTTTTGTAAAGATTTTATGGATTTAGATATCCTAAGGAGCAATTCTGCTCTGTCCTATATGGTCCTATAGGGTCACTATAAGTAAGAATCAACTCGATGCCACTGGATGGGTCAATAAGTGATCTTTGTTTATAAGGACTGTCGGTGTCATTTGAATGATGCCCTCCCCAGTGGCTTCACTAAGGGAGGTGCAGATGGAAGCAAGTGAGCTCAGGAGTGACACAGAAATGGCTCAATAAGGTTTTTGTGTAGTATTTCAATAGAATTTTTTATATAAAAATTTCAAGGTAGATATAACAACAAAAAATTTTTTCTCAAGTATCTACAGACATATCTCAATATACCTACAAGCCTAAAACTATGCCAATTTCTGTTTTGAACCTTCTCACATGCTCAGATCCAGCGGTTCCCAACTGTGGGTCCCAACCCCTTTGGGGGTCGAATGACCCTTTCACAGGGGTTTCCCAAGTCACAACAGTAAAAAAATTACAGTTATGAAGTAGCAACAAAAATAATTTAATGGTTGAGGGATCACCACAACATAAGGAGCTGTATGAAAGGGTGGTGACATGAGGAAGGTTGAGAACCACTGCTCTGATCAGAGCTCTCATGGTCACCCAGTACAAGGACATCTTAATCACATGGTTTCACACGTGCTGCATACACTACAAGCACGAGCTACTAATTTCACTGCTGTCAGTGCGTTTATAGTCACTGATTCTGTTGAGTGTGTGAGTGTGTGTGTGTGTGTGTGTTTTCTAGCTACAATATGGTAGTGATTAGATTTTGTGAACCTCTATCAAAAACTTTTGAGAATGCATTATTAACAAAAGGGAAATGAGACATACCCTAACAGGGTTTTGCTCACTTACTAATTATGTTATTAAGTGATTCGATATAGAAAGATTTTATAATTTTGTTGGTGCTGTGCATCTACTATGGGAAATATATCTAAGCAACATACTACAATATTTATGACATCTTACCGTAGATTAAACTTGATAATCAATATGGCAATGCATTCTGTATGGTCTGGTACAGGAGGTGGGGGGTGACACTATGAGTGACTGCACTAGGTGACACCACCCTCAGTGACATCACTGAGCCTCCTTTAGGACATACAGCCATCTGTTGGGAGGAGAGAGATTGGAGGACGGAAAAGAAGAAGAAGGGGGAAAAAACTTCTCTCTAGGCAACAGAAGCAATGAGCCCTTGGGGGAATAAGAGAACTGGTAAAAAGAAAATCTTATCTGTAAGACAAATGGACAAAGGGACACATGAAGTGTCATCAGGTCAAATTAAGGAATGCATTCATTATTTTAAATTATGTAGTTGCTTCTAAATGACAAATTATAGAAAACGATTCTTTTTAAAAGGAGACGTTTCACACTCAGGCCATAAATTCAAAGGCCTCTTGCTTGTAGGACAATTAAGCAGATTCCAGACCCAGGAAGGCTGACCACTCCCTGAAGTTTGCCTTCAGTCCACTCCATCATAATGATCGCTGGTGGGGTCCTACTTGAAGTTTACTACCTATTGACCCTTCTAACTCTACCTGGGCGCTCTCTGCATTAACGCCGAAGACTTCCAACTCTGCAAGAAATGAACGCGCCCGGAAAGATGTTCTTAAAACAATAACAGCAGCCACAGCAAAAACAAGGCAACACCACCTGAGCTCTGCTCACAGAGGCGCTGGGCATGCGAGAGCAGACCTCTGCAGTCGCGCGTCCTCCCTCGGAAAAGCATTCACCTCCACATCTGCAGCCCCAGGTGCCGCCAGGCCCCGCGCCCGGCGGAGAAGGTCCCCCGCGCGTCCGAAAGGCAACAGGAAGCGCAACGCCTCTCCTCCCTGAGGGATGCTCCCAAGCACGCCCCGAAGTCCCGGCTCGGCGGGGTCCCGGAGCCGCCAACCCTGTCCCGGCGGCTCTCACCCGCGTTTCGGGGCAGCGGAAACCGAGCTCTCCAAGGCAGGACCGCGCCGGGGCGCGCGAGAGGGCGCCCGACCGAGCCGCCGCGGGGCCGCGGTCCCGTACCTGCGGCGCCGCG